AAAATCAGTATCTCTCACTGTAATTGATTCTTATTTCCATGTTATGTTAGCAGCAAAAATCATCCTGACATGTTTGGGTCAAGTTTTCCAGGGAGAGAAAAGGATTCAGCTCATCCAGCAAGACCCATTTTGTCCTCACTGAGGAGAAAAACACACATCTAGAACCCCATTCTCATGCCAAAGACAAAAGTAATTTTGAAGTTCTTAAAATGCCTTATTGTCTCTTGATGCTTTTGTCAATATGTATTTACTCAACTTCCATATCTTAAATGTCAATAATTCACAGCTGATATATTTTTTGCAGTGTACTCATTCACTGCTCAGCACAACTAGCATTCACAGACATTACAACATTTAAGATAAAATTCAAGCAGAAAGGAACCAAAGATAACATAAAACAAAGGATTTCAAACCCTTTCCAAGGTATTGAGAATGATACTTCTGTATTATTACAGAATAACTACCAAAAAACAGACAGTTGTAATTTGACGTTTTTAATGGATGGAGGACCTATATATGTGTCTCTCACTGCAAGGCTTTATATTGGCTTTGACTTAATCTTCTCAGCCTTCCCCTTGGCTCTCCAATTTTCCAAAAACACCATAAAGAGACATATACATCATTTTGGCTCTCCAATTTTTCAAGAACACCATAAGGTAACATATACATCACAACATACTACCATGCTCAAATATCACTTTTTAATGACCATAACCCTACTGCCACATGATTACATGAAGAAGGGCACATATTTGGGACATATTTTAGGAGGCCAGATGTACAAACAACTGAATTCCAAGAGGCACATGACCATAGTATCAGCAAACCTAAATGCTCTGATATAAAGGCCTTGCATATGGTGTTTTTTGGCAGGGTTTTTTTGAGTATTAGCTAATAGTAACATCTTTTCCACATTCTGAAACTCAGAAAGTTTTCTAAAAGACTTAAAAATAAATCTTCAATAAACAAATTGTTTTTTTCAGCCAAATCTTGTAGGTGTTTTGGATGCAAGCTTTCTGTATAGCACATTAACACCATTTTCAATGAAGACATGTTCACTACTTTGAACGCACCATTTCTATCCACCTGCAAGAAAAACATTGCTAACAAATAATTTTGCACTATTTTCAATTTTGCCATCTCTGCTAAACAAGAGCTAGATTTCTGTAACTAGAAATCTTCAGTGTCTGGTAATTAAAGTAGAAACCTTAACTTTTAAAGTAGGAGTTTTATCTATGCTTGTCCTTAGCATTACAGATTTTCTAGCTCATTTGTAAGAGTTCTAGGCTTACTGATATGGACTTCTCACCCTCAGTGTGCATTCCCATACACATCACTGGTGTAGCCCACAGTACCACAACTCACAAGATCAGAACAACCTGAATAGGATTTTAGTCCTACTAAGAACAGGAGGAAAATCGAGCCAGAAAGTCAGTGTCAGATATAACACTTGTGTCTGGAGAGGATTTAATGTTGAGATGAGGCTATCCACACTATCTTTTTCTAAAATTACACAACAAATTCTTTGATTGCAACAGTTTTTCAGTGCTTGTAACATTGCCAGACCACCACCTTGTATACTGCCAATATAAAATAATTCAGAAGATGATTTCAGTCAAATAGTTCTGCTTCAGGGAAAATACTCAAATCTGCTGTATTTTTGGATCTATTCTTAACAAACCTGGTGAGTCTGTGCTTTGGATGAAGAACTTCCAATTCAGACAGAGTTTTCAAAAAATGTACATATTGCCTAAGAAAATGAGAACCACAACCTCTGACAATATTAAAAGGGAACTGAAAAATCAGATTAAGGACTGGAAAGAAAAACCTTATCCAGCAACTTATTTCCTCATCAAATATGAAGTCAATACCATTTTATTTACCATTTTCACAATAATTATGTATTTACAAATTTCATTAAATGATAATAAGAATGGACAAATGGGGGTGAATAGCTGTAACTACAGAAATGTATTTATTCTGCTTAGTACATTGAAGTAAAATATATATTGGTCAATGGCAACTTAAAATTAGTTCTTACATCTGCAACATAAGCTCTACTTTTAAAAAGTATTAGTCTTGGACAGAGTAGAATCAAAAGGAAATTAAGTCATCAAAGCTGAAATAACACTACTGTCAATTTCTGTTGAAAATGGGCAAGTTCTAAGTCTTCTAATAAAAAGCGAATTGACAGAGCCAGGAGTAAACTGATTAAACCTTAGTAGCTGCAACTTTCTAAGGTTCCATCTGTTCTGTGCATGTGCCACCCTGGGCCTGTGCCAGATCCAAGACCTGGGGCTCACTTCTGTATTGCTGGTGACACGACACTCCTGCTGAGCTCTGTCAACAAAGAAGTAGTGCCTGCTGGGAGAGAGGTGACAAACTTGGAAATGTACAATACAATTAATACAGATGGTTTGGTAAATAAAAACTTAGGTTGCTTGTCAAGAAGAATAGAAAATATGGATGAAAAAAAGAGGGCACAGGAATATAGCCAAAGCATTATATAATACCACTAGGAGAAACTAAGAATTAAAACTTTTGGAATATCTGCTGAAGAAGTGAAAACAGAGTGAACAAGAAAGAGTCTTACAAACAATTTGGAGAAAAGCATAAAAACTTTTTAGCGTGATGGCTCCTGACACATCTGCAAAGACAACAGATCTGGTTATATGAGGCATACTCAGAGGAGACAGTTGCTTTGAAGAAATATTTTTGTTGATGCACACCATGGAAAAGAATGGTAAGAGTGTCATATCAGAGCACTCCCTTTGGAGAACAGTCTATCTACAGCAGAAGCACTGTTAAAATGTGGAAAAAAAATAATAAAAGAAATTTTAAAATGTTACCTACCAGACTGAGGCAGCTATTTACTCCTTGAGCTTTGAAGAAACTATTGACGTTACTGAAAAATATAATAGCTGAACTACTCGAGATTAAATGGAACTTCTCATTTAAAACTGCCCTAGTACCACAGGGTAACATAAACATCATCCTCAAGAACATTCTTAAACAAACACAGAACTACAGAGGAGTAAATTTGATATTTATACAGAATAAAGTGTTTCTAGTAAGTCTAGAAGAATTAAGGAATAAGTAAGTAAACATGATAGCATGTGGAAGAGTCACCATGGCATTTGTAGAATAGTTGTACATCTCAAATCTAATACAGCTTTTTTAAGTTATAAAAACATGTCCAGGACAGAAATTTGAATGACAGCATACCGCATTTCAAAGGCACTCCCCAAAGCCTACTCAAGAAAGTCATCTCCGCAGAGAATAAAAGAGAATGTCCGCTGGTGAAAAGGCAGGAAATAACAGCGGACCCAATGGTCAGCTTTCACAGCAGATGAAACAACCAGAACAGTGTCACAGGAACCTGTGCAGGAACCTGGGCTTTTCAATGTGTTTGGGGAGGAGATGTCCACAGATGCTACTCAGAACAGAAAAGATACAGATCAACTGTTAAAACATGCATGACTCCTTTATTGGGAGTGACTGGGAGGTGGAACAGGAGATTAAATTTAATGTACATAAGTGAAACAAAAGGTGAACATGTTTCTAAATTTACACAGGCATTGACCTCTGAGCTGGTTATTCTCACTCACAGATAACTTGAAAAATGTTAAGTTAGATTAGACATTTACAACATAAACAGTAAATTCAGGGCTCAGGAGTCAAATAGGCATCAGGAATTATTAGGAAAGAAACAGAGAACAAAACAAACCCCACCACTAAACCACTCTGTGACTGCATGTTATACTGAACGTTTCATTGGTTCTGTTTCTGGGTACCAAACAAAACAGAGTCAAAAAGTAGAGAAATGTTATTGGAAAGTAGAGAATGTTATTGAGTAACTCCTGTATGAGGAACAGCCAAGTAAAATATAATTATTCAGCCTAGGGAACAGGGAGAGGAGCCATCCTCTCTTTGCAGCATTCAGTCACATAACAAGGAAGCAGTTGTTCCCCGTGTCTTCCACTGGGACACCTTGCTGAAATCACACGGAAACTTGGAAAATGACAGATTCAACTTTGACAAAAGGAGACTAATCTTGACATTCCAGGTAATCAAGCTGTAGATGCCTCTGCCCCAGGCTCTTAACATTAAAGGCATCCACAAGCAGATGAAAGACTAGGCCAAATTTTAGAAGGAAAATGCATCCAGATTCACCAATCCAGCCATGTCACCTCTAGTTATGGATGGTTACAAAACTACCCATGACCACCACGTCCTTGGTTTGTTTGCATTTTTTTCTCACTGTGCATGGGCTGTTGCCTCTGTTGGAGTCAACAGGCAGAGCTGGATGGCCTCAGTTGGTACAGCTGGGTCTGTACATGCTGTTAGGTAACAGAAGGAGAAACAAGACTGGCTAAAGAGACTCAGGGCACTCAGGAAAGAGACAGAACATTTGCCACAGGTGCTGTAGTATGAAGGAGGGGTGTACCAGTCATAACTGGCAATGTTTTGATGTCAGGGGGAGGGGACTGCAGGAATCAGTGTGGTATGGGGATTGGAAAGAAATAAAAAGGGAGAAAAGGTTACACAGGGGCAAGGGCTGTTTACCCTAGGAGTTTGCGTGTTGGTTTCAATCCTAGAATCAGTAATTAGAAGTCAATAAACAAAATAAATTAGGAAAATGTGTCCTGATTTAGGAGGCTACCTCCAATTAATTGAATATTCTATGCTTGTCAGCATTTTTACTTGAATTTCCCAGTTTCTTTTCCCCTCACTAAACATTAAATTCTAAGATGAACATTAAAACTATTACCTTCAAGACCTCTACAGAAACAGAAGATTCTGTTGTCAGAATCTTCATCTCAGTAGTATTACATTTGTGGAGTAGAATCTCATACTCTGCTGCCAGCAATGTGTCAACTCCTGAACTTTAGGGGGTTTTTCATGTAGGGTATAATCTACTGTTTAGAAATAGAAAGAAGAACGCAGTACAAGTTTTAAATTGGAGTAAAATGCTAAAACAAACAACGTTAAGATCTCACCTGCAGTAAGTATGAGCAAGAGGTATCTGCACTGGAACTCTCATTTTGTACCGTGTTCTGCTGAGTAATAGCATCCTCTTTCTTTCGTTCCTTCTGCCCTGCTTCATCATCTTCATACTCATCAAGGCTCTAAAATGAAAAATATTTGGTTATTAGTTATAGTCCTTGTATGTTGCTTCACATATTTCACAAAATTCATGCATCAGTCAACATCTTCAAATATTAATTTCGTATTTCAGGAAACTCTAATTAAATGTTTAAATGCTTTTCTTTCCAACTAAACAGCTTTTTCTTCCTGACAAAAGTAAGATAATCAAAACATGATCTGGGCAAGTTCAGTGCTAATCCTGCTGTGAGCAGGAGTTTGGGCTACACCTGAACTTTCTTTCACTGGAATGATTCTACAACCCTGACTGCCATGTGCAACTGTATTACCTTTACACAAGAGATTTTCAGGAAATCCAGAGAAGAAAAAAAAAAGTTAATTGTACTCTTCACTCAACAACTGATCTTTTTTGACATAGTGGCACCTGCTGAGGTTGAACTGTCAGTCTCAATCACCCATTTTAATTTTGGCCCTCTTGGTTTTCATTTTTTCTTTGAAAATTTACCATTGAAAATCAGTAATTTTTTAATGACTTGGACAGTCATTAATTACTCACCATTTTACACATGTAACGTTTTGACCCTTCAGCACAAATGTTTCATACTAGATTTGCTGAAATACTTGCTTTGAGAGAATTAAGTTTCTAAAGCACTGACTGCTGTCAGGCCAGAGACAGTAAAAGTAAGTAGGCAAGTAAATAAAAATATAAATAATCAGTATTACAGCCTCTGTCCTAGCTCAAAGCCATGTTAAGGCCAGCTTTGGGCTAAGTCAGCTATGTCATAACACCAACTTAAAGCAGACAAAGCTAAAAAAACCCAAAACCTCCAATCATGACATCACAAGCTGTTTGCCAGCACTCTACATCAGAACAAGAGATGTGTGAAACCTTGTACAGAAACACAATAACCAGGGAAATAACCCATTTAAGAGACCAAAAAGCTTCTAGATTGATATACAGTACCTTGAGAAACAGAGAACAGGACTAGCAGAGAACAAAGATGAATGTCAAATTATTTCAGTTGACATTTCTAATGCAGTAAAAACTAAGTCAGTATTCTGAGGCTCAGGTACTGACAATCTCTGTCATCACCTTACACAAAGAACACCAAACTAGTCAAAAATATATAATGAGAGCGCTAGAATACAGCACCTTTAAAAATAAAGCCAGTGTTATTTGCTAGCTGAAAACAGCACTAGTATATCAAAAACTAACTCCAGCTCCTCCAAAGCAAACACTCTGGTGATACACGTGTTGAAAACTGGCACACCAGAAAGGGATATGTTTCCACAAGTGAACCTGAATAAAAGCCATTTAAACTCTCCACAGCAGTGCTCATGACAGCGACACTAATGCAATTTCACTGGTCTGCTTCTAACCAACCTTTCAATGTAACTCATGCAGACCTGCTCCTATCACTAAGGCACACTGAGAAGGTTACTATGGCTAAATCATTACACATTCAAAAACACTTTCAATTAGTCTTTTCTAATAAAATAATTACAAATATTTAATGTAATTCTGTAGGGTCCATTTGTAACAAAGCATTTAAAAAACTGCCATGGCACATTCTAGGGAATGATCTTTAAATCAACATCTTCTACCTTTTACAAACTGTAAAACTTAAAAATTTTTATGGCATACACTTATGTCCTAATTTATCCCATTACCATATTAAGCCATTATGAAGTGACACAATAACAAATCATAAGGCCCTACCACAACAAGAAATGGAGTCATCTTTGCCTCTCACAAAGTCAGTCTTGTTCAGAAAGAATTGGGAGGTACACAGAAGTTATCATGTAAATTTTAAATAGCGTCATGCAGATGAAGAATGATACTGTGTTAGAAAAACAGAAACATTTTCAGATTGGTCTTTGGTCTCCAAGTTGTCATGACAGAGAATGGAAACAACTTTGCATTTTCAAGGGAAACATTCTTTAAGGAGAAAAATGAAGCTGAAATATCAATATTGTAGGAAGAAAGTCTTAGTAGTGACTGAATAGATAACTGTACCTTTCTCCAAAAATTCTGTCCTTCAGATACATGCTTCTCAGAAGATTTCCAAAGACAATGAGAATGAGTGCTCAACAGAAATATTTTTCTCTGAATACAATTACATCTGTAATGAAGAATGTTCTTCTCTCTTTTAGTATAAGATTACCTGCTATTAACTATTCTTTTAGCCTTTTTGACAGGAACAAAATCTGGTATGAAAGTTCTAGCCACATAATTTTAAACTAAACATTTTCATTTGGGATTTGCCAGCAACATCCATTCCCACCCTCTCCTTTCTTCTCGGGAAGGTCCAAGATCACCAAAGTCTGCAAATCAGTACCACAGAAAGGTATTTAACCACGCCAAATAATCCATACTTCCAAGGTTAAAGGCCTTCTTCCCAAGCATGAACAGTCTGTTAAACAGTTGATGTAAATCTAATTCTGTTTTAAAGGCTATGGGGGCTTGTTCCCCACTCCAGTTCCCTTCACTGCAGCAGGTGTCCCACCAGCTGAGACCAGCACAGGTTTGAGTGGTGAGAACCACAGAAGCACCAGGGTTTTTATCTTGAAAGAGGTGAGGAGTCACGAGTGCAGGTTGGCAGCCACCATCCATGGCTGGCACAGCACATCTGGCCAGGGCTGCCAATGCCCTCCTGCCCCAAAGCAGATTCATAGTCACTGTCAGAGGCCGTGGCTTCCCAAACACAAAGGTTGTGTTCCCCTTCCAAATATGCAGACACACTAATTCACACAATGTTTACAAAATGCAGGCTGAGCACAAACCAACATGCTAACAACTACATCATTTAAACCTTTTACTGCCTTTTAGGAAGTTATTAAGTTTTGCTTCAATAACCACTAGCCTTAAAAGGAAATCCACTAGTTTTGACTCATGATGAAATAAGCTCTCTTATTGAAAATATCCCGCTTATGCACTTCATCTTCAGTTTTTAATTGCTAGTATTATTGCCATTTATCTTCTTAGCTAATTTTTAGAGGAATAAAAATCAATAAAACCACATTTCACTTTGTGGGTGAGGGTTGATACACTATTATTGAAAAAAATTAAAAATGTTTAAAGTGTTGTTAGACACTTTAAAAACTGGGTTTTTCAAACTGCCCTGCAGCTGAAAGTGCCTCAGCCCACAAGACATTTCAATTAGCTGGATTACTGTGTTGTTCACGTCGCAGGCTCTCTCAAATACTGCACTTTGCTGTAAAAACTAGTTTCACATCATTGAAAAAGACGTAAGTACAGCAATTACTTTCTCTGTCAGCACAGCAGAGAAATGGACTTGTAACCACTGAGGTGTAATTCGGACCCATTATATAATTCTCTCTGTCCATTCCCTTTCCTCTGCTTTTCTTATTTTGCCACTAGGCACATACCATTTCAGATTCTTATTTTCCATTAAAATCATCTGAGTTTTGTATAGCAGATATTCAATGTGACATTCCCACATCTGATCTTAATATAAGGAATCCACAGAAATTTTTTTAGGTTTTCCAGGATTTCACTAGATGTTTGAAGCTGTAGTATAAACATTTTTTTGTAAACCTCTAGTATGGAAAATACAAGCAGACTAAGATGCTTTCAAAAGAATCAGACTGAGTAAAGAAACTGCCACAAAGATATCTCCACATTCCAGCACACCACCACCTCCAGTTTAAGGAGACACTGTACAAAGAACATTTCTAATGATTCACTGGTTTGCCTCCTATAAATATTTGTGCATTGCTAAGAACAGGCAAAAGTTGGGGAAGGGCTGTCTTTTCCCTGGAAAGAGGCAATATTCCTATCCTGTGCAGATCAGTTCATGAGTATGCACAAGCTGCTCTCGCCACAAGAAACCACACTGAGTCAAAATGTCCCCGTTCCCAACTCCTTTCCTGCACTAACCTGCTTCTGCCTTACAGCACATAACTCAGGGCTCCCAGCTCATTTCATGAAAGGTCAGTCAGGTTCCTTTCAGCAGTTTTAATTAGCTCAATTGATTTTGCCTGGACCAGATACAAGCCCATTCAAACTACTTATTTCGCAGAACTCCAGGAATGGTTGTGCTACATCAGCTTTTTGTAAATGATGAGCACTTAAGATAATTCCATATTTAACCAGTACAGCAAGATGTGCAGGCAGATATGTACTCTCAGTTAAAACTCATGTTCAGCTTCATATTGGGCAATAAACAGAAACTCTACATCACAAGCACCATCAGTTATCTCAATGGGCTCTCCTACCTTAACCATGGTAGTAATGTCAGAGAGGAAACAAATCGAGGCATCCTCCCATTTCCCTGAAACAACCACAGACAATCTAAAAAGGCAATTTTAAAAAATCAATTTTACCATAAGAATATTTCCCATGCTGAGAAAAAGTTCAAAGTGCACTATCACAGCTTCACCTCAAGACATTGTAAAACTGCAAAGGTTTCTATTAAATGTAAGTATTTTCTAAAAGCTTCAACAGTAGAAATACAAGACAGGATATAAGAATTGCTTTTAACTCTGAAAAAACTTATCCAGGCAATTAATTACTGCAACATACATTTTGAAATTCAACATTATCTTTCCTTTGGCTGACCAAGGAAAAACCTGGAAAATTAACTGAATAAAAGACAACTATCTTACACATATCTTACACATGATTTCTCCATAATCACTATTCTTACTGCAACATTGAGAACCAAATGCTTCCTTGCTTTACCATGCACAACTTTGGTATCAGCTAAATATCATCTCCCTATCTCTTTGCATAGTAGCAAAGGCTTCTGCCAGCTCCTCCCATCAAAACCAAGCAAAAATCCCAAACCTCTATGATTTAAGATTACGTATCTTTTCCCCTCTGACACACTAATTCTAACCATATTAATAACACACTTTTATTACACTGTCCAGACAACACCCAAAATATTTAAGTAAGACACATTTAGAGTAATAAAATCTTTTTATTGGAATGACAGTATAATTGGGAAAATTGCATCTTTTTCATTCTGCAAGCCTTTCATCACATTTCACTTGTTGAAGTGCTTTTCTTTACAAGCTGAAAACCATTCCTATAGAGGTGAAATAAATAATGTTATTCCTAGGAACTGTCTAAAACCTACAAGCAGTTGTATCAATTATGCAGCTAAAGATTTTATTTTTTTAAGACTTCAATTCTCACATTAAGACAGCCCAGAAAAGGACACTGAACTGCAACACCTTATTCACATGATTTTTGTGCATGTCTAAAAGTCTACATCTGTAACTGGAGCAGTCCAATATCAACCATTAGTATAATCACAAGCATGGATTTTTAAGATAGAAGAGTAGCAAAGGCAGGAATCTTTGGTATCTGAGATCAAAAGAGACCCTAGGACAAGAATGGGTCAGTGCCCAGCAGGTGGGCCAGAGCACAGCTGACTGCAGCCACAGGATTCGCTCATCCTTGACCATGCTGCCAACAAAGCAATCCTAAAAGCCGAGCATCACATACATCAGTCAAATGCACATCCTGCTCTACAAAATTCACAGCATTCCTGATTATAAGTCACATTTACATTTTTTTAACTCTATCCTTTTCTCACC